GGGTCCTGCCTGCCCGTGAGGAGGCTGGGGTGGCTCCGATGCAAACTGCTGCCGGTGTTACCCTGCAGTGATGGGAAGGGGGGAGATCCCAGAGGTCCCTGCTGGGGGCGAGGGCTCCCTTGGCCCCTGGTCCCAGGGGTGCTGGGGCTCCCAGGGCTCACCCTGGCCGGTGAGCACCCCACCGCCCTCCTCACGGGCTGCGCTCCCCTGCAGAAGGAGAGCCAGAAGGCAGACGAGTACCTGCGGGAGATCAAGGACCAGAAGCTGCTCCCGGAGGCAGTGAGCCAGTGCATCGAGGCAGCCGGCTACGAGCATGAGCCGGACACCCAGAAGTCACTGCTGAGGGTGAGTGAGGCGCAGGGAGGCTTTGGATGCGGCCACCAAATGCGTCCCTCCCAGCTGGTGGTTGTGCCGTGGCCAGCACAGCCCCTGCACCGCACGCCTCTTCCCGCAGGCAGCCTCCTTCGGGAAGTGCTTCATCGACAAGTTCCCCCCGGAGAGCTTCGTGCGCATGTGCCAGGACCTGCGGGTGCTCAACGCCATCCGGGACTACCAGATCGGCATCCCCCTCACCTTCACCCAGTATCCTCGCTGGGACGGTGCATGAGTGATGACCCTGGGGCGTGTGTGGGATCTGGCCCAGGCAGGACCAGCGCTGTTTGGGGCTCCAGGCCCTGCTGGGGCGGCTGCCTCGTAGGTGGAGCGAGACGGGGAGGAGGGAGCTGCAGAGCCGCTTAGCTGCCAGCCTCGCAGGGTTTGGGCACCAGCTGTGCCCTGGGCCCCGTGGCAGGGGTGTGTAGCTGAGACCCCTACGCTCATCACACTCCGCAGAGCTGGCCTGGGGGTGCTGCCAGGAGGGGGATGGGCGCCCAGCACGCGTTGCCTCTTCTCCGTGGGGTTTTGTGGTCCCTTGACTGTCCCCACAGATACAAACGGCTCACCATCGAGGTCCTGCTGGACAGGTAAGGGTCCCCAAAAGCTGGGCATGACAGCCCGAGCAGCCTGGGCTGAGGCAGCGTC